AGCCATCTCCCTGGCCCCGTTTTCTCTTTTGTAAAAAGTATTTATTTATTTATTTGGCGCAGGGTCTCACTACACAGTTTGGACTTGTAGTGATCCTCCTGTCTCAGCCTCCCCAAGGCTGAGATTACAGGCGTGCTCCACCACACCCGGGTTGGCACAGGCGGCACTGCATGCAGCACTGGGGATTGAATGTGGGTCCTTGCACTTGCCAGGCAGGCTCTTAGACCACCAAGCTATCTCCCTAGCCCCTTCTTCTTTTTATTTTTTTTTATTTTAGTGTAGGGTCTACAGGGTCTCACTATGTAGATTGGACTCATAGTGATCCACCTGTGTTCAGCCTCCTCAGGGTTGGGATTACAGGCACATGCCACCTCGCCCAGTCTCAATTGCTGTCTCAGCACACCCTGGGGGCAGGGCCAGCACTGTATGCCAAAGATTGAACCCAGTCTGCTGAACCCAGGCCCGTTGCATCTGCCTAAGCAGGCACTGTAATCTGCTGAGCTATTTGGCCAGCCCTCCTTCTTTTATTCTTTTTAAAAGCTAAAAAGCTTTTTTTTTTTTTTTTGTAGCTCCCCATTGACCTGCAGCAGAGCTGGTCTGGGTTGCCTTGACTGTTTCTACATAATACAACTAGATAAATGTTTGTGTTATAATTCTCCCATAAAATGTACTAGATTTTTTTTTTTTTTTTTTGGCAGAACCTGAGATTGAACTCAGACCCTTGCGCTTGCCAGGGAAGCGCTTGTTCTACTGAGCCATCTCCCTAGCCCCTCCTTTTATTCTTGATAATTTTTTTTGGTGGTACCAGAGATCAAACTCAGGACCTTGTGCTTGCCAGGCAGGCACTTACTCCACTGAGCTATCTCACTGGCCCCTCTTAATCAGTTTTTACTACCGCTTTATAAATTTTATTAATCAAGAACCACCTTTTCACTTGGTTATTTTATAGATTTTTTTGACATCATATATTAGACTGAAATTAAAATATACATATATATGACATACAAAATACATCATTATTTGGCTCAAATATTTCAATTTATTTTGTATTTGTTATTTTCATCATGGATTATGTGTATATGTGTGGTATCAAATACCCAGATAAGTCCTCTGAAACCAAGAATGAAAGTACTCCTTTAAAGAAAACAAACAAACATAATTTGGGGTTTAATTTAAAGATATAGTATCTATTAGATTTAGTTTGGTCATACTCAGAGAACATATTCTGTACAATTTTGAGGCTTACTTTAAGGTTCACGTAATCTCTTAATGTGTTAACTGCTGTTAATTGAGGTGGTTCTCGAATGGATAGTCAAATTCGTGTTTTTCGAATCTCCTGGAGCTTACCTGATACACTTTGACTACTTATTCTGTCAGCTGCGGAGACAGGCCTGTTAACACCTCACACTACAGCTGGGCATGGGCTCCTGTGTGTCCTCCCAAGCAGCCAGGAGGCCAGGAGAGGAGGACTGTAAGATTGAGGCCAGCCTGGGCAATTTAGCGAGACTAGAACGCAAAGTAAAATTTTAAAAGGGCCGGGGATGTAAGTTGGAGCTCCCTGGGCAGAGTCTCAAGCTGTGATGATTGGTCTGTCCATTTCTCCTTTAGTTCTATCAATATTGACTCCTTTTGGTTGCATCCTCCTGGGCGCTTGCACACTGAAGATTGTTTTGTTGTCCTGATTGAGCTTTTGTCATGAGAGCGCTTACTTTGCTGCAGTAACACTGTCTGCTGCTAGCTTAAGAGTTTGTGGCTCCGTCTTTTGGATTCAGAGTAGTCACTGTGAACAGCTCGTGGTTGGTCTGGCCTTTTGGCCCAGTCTGACCTAGAGAAACGTCTCTGCCTTTAGCCTGTGATAGGTACTTAATGCTGAGTGGAGCTGTTGATGTTGGAGTTTAAATCCCTTAGCTTGGTTTTTGTTTATCCTGTCTGTCCTTTGTTCCTCTGACCCCTTCCTTCCTCTTTCAGGGAGAATAATTTAGTATTTTTTTAGTGTTTTCTTTTCCTTTTATATGCTTTTTTTTTTTTTTTTTTTTTTT